TATTCATTTATTTTCCCTTTTATATCCTAAATTCAAGACTTTTCTGGAAGTATACCTGCTTTACTTTTCCAAATGCCATCTTCTAAGGAGGCATATTTTACTAGCAGCTCAATTGCTCTCCAACACCACTGTGATTTTATGTATATTTTCTAATGAGGTCTCTACTGCCAAGACTTTTTAACTGTCCCCTTCAAACCTAGGATGGAGCCAACTTACTAATAATCATCACAAACTTTTTTTTTTTTAATCTTCTTATTTACATAGTTGAGTTTCATTTTTTTCTCAGATATAATAATACCACTAACAGAATTCACATACTAAAAAGAAGAATAGCTTACACACATTAAGAATTCTACTCCTGACAGTCACAAGGGCTTTCAAACAGGAAAATTCTGATTCAAAATGCTTCTTCCTTGTTAGAAAGTCCCTTATACGCATGCAGATAAAGATCACTAAGCACAAAATGCACGAATCAGATTGAATCTATAGCCACATGCAAGCGTCCAGAAGAAAGTTAGAAGCATTTTTATAACTACAAATAGAGTACAAACTACAAGTTACCTCTAAGATCTTAGGATGTCACTCCAAACTTCTCATGTAACTAGGATACAGACTTAATAACATTCATATCCTTCTATTCCCTCTCATCTTTTAGAATCCTAAGAAAATTGAAAGCCCTTACAATTCACAATTCACTCATTAATAATATAATCAAAATTCAAACAAGCCTGGAGCTTAATCAGACTAAATTCCTTTCCTAACTAACTAGCTTTCCTACTTCAGATGCCTCAACAGTTCCTAAAAGTAAAGGAACATAGCAAATTCCCAAATGAAAGAACTGGAAAGAGGGACTGATCAACTGAAATTACTCTGACCAGGAGAAAAAAAAAAAGAAAAAAAAAAGAAAAAAAAAAAGAAAAAAGAAAAAGAAAGGCAGCCCTGCTTTACCTGCATCCACAAAGTTAGACACATGCCCATTAAAGGGTGCAGGAGAGACAACATACACGTACAGCATTATGTTTTTATTAGACTTGTTATACACCAGGAAAATGTCCTGTGTTCTAAATACGATATCCAGAAGTAGCAATACTGGATGTCAGATCATCTACAAAGAACATTTAGGGGCAGGGAAATGGAAGTCATAGAGCATTAAAGCTGATCAAACACCTTCTAGGAAAACCTCCCTTTCCACTACCAGAAACGGTAGAAGATTAGCAGACCCTGAGCAAAGAGCTGGCAAAACAGCAGTCTACTGCCATACTAGACTTTTTTTATTACTCAAATTCAACCTGAGAAAACATATCTCCAACCAGAGACAATTACCCCTGTTGACTACGCAAGACAACTGCCCACCTTAAGAAGTCATACAAATTTCAGCAGCAACTTATAATACAATTAATCAAGAATTCATTGCACTATTGCCAAGACAAAGAATACAGAGAAAGAAGACGCATAATCAAACAAACAAACTTTAAGCACAACAGAAAAGGCAAGGCACAGAAGACAAGCGAAAGAGTAATGAGATCAACTGCTTACAGTAATGGGAAAGAACAAAAGGACCAAGAAAGTTACAAGACCTATAAGCAGGGCAAACTTAAGCAGTTCCATACATATGTTAGGTCACCATCTGGAGATCTGTAGTAATCTGGTAACCTCTCTATTCTGCCTTCTCAAATGCTGCACCGCAGCAGTGGCACAAGTTATTTTTGGAAATACAGTGGGGGAGGGAAAATGGTTAGGAAAGTTACAAGATACAAATACATGAGAACGTTAAGCAGAACACAGTAGCGTGAAATGTATTTTTTGGCACGTTAAGCATTCAAGACAGTGAGATCTTTATGAGTATAGTATGAGTTTATATAAATCTCATAAACAGATATGTCTTCTGGAAGTTGCCAAAACGTGCGTCAGGATCCTCCTTTGGGGGGGGCCATATCAATTCTCCTAAGACTGCTAGAAGGAGCACATGTCTCTAAATACATCCATCTGACAGACCAGTGCAGGAATACATGAAACTTCAGAATAAGAAGTGAAGAACCTGCTCGTTTCCTCTGGTGCTCATGCACCCTCTGAGCAGAACAGTAACTGAATTCTCAACTAACACCACTAGGCCTTATGTGAAACGCAAACAACTTAAACACATCCAACATTTTCAGAGAAGCTGAAGAACCTGTGTGCACTATGATACACTTACTAACTACCTAGAAGTTCCGGTTCTTAAGATCATACACGTCTTTCAGAAGTAATACAACATGTGCATGCATTTACACTTACATCTGATTTTTAGCCGCTTGTCTCTGAGCTTTCCGTTCTTTCCTTTTTTGATCTGGTGGCTTAGCAAAAACAATTTCAATGTTTTCTCCCTCTAAATCTTTGCCATTCATTTCTTCCATTGCCTGAAGGAATTAACCAGACTTTAAATATACTTCTAAGCATATCTGGAGTTATTAATTTTATTCTATCCTTTAGAATATGCATTTTAAATGTTGTTACCCATAGCTAAAACAACAATATAAATCTAAAAAAAATTAGCATAATATTATGGGTTTCAGAAAGTTATGCATTTCCTCTTAACTTGCCTCTGAAACCCAAGACTGCATGTGTTAGTTTAAAAATCTTCCACTCAAAACTCTGAATAGGCTTCAAATCCTCACAAGTTGTTTCAATTAATGAATTGACAGAACTGTTTTCTGAAAAGACACTAAGGAAAAATTTGCAGTAAGGCAATATATCTCTACTGTCAGCATAAATGGAAACACTACTAAGATTAAAAATCAGTGTGGTTTTGTGCTTTCATACGTTAAGTTTGTTGCTTTTTTTTTTTTTTAAGCCAGAAGCCAAAAAGTAATGGTCTCATTCTCAATTAAGGAAAAAAAACAAAAACAAAAACACGCATGTATATTTCTCTCAAGTCACAGTAGTTGCTAAAAGTTGATTTCAAGCAGAGGAATCCTGAAGATTCTACCATTTTTAAGGACTCCACATAGCTGAGCCTTGACAGGACGTGTATCCTGTGAGAAGACTCTTTCCACCATCTTCCTAAGCATCTGCTTCAAGGCATCTGGACGAACAAGAAAAGCTAAATCCCCTTGTATCCTGTATCCTCCCACAGGACATAAAAAGAAAAAAAAAAAAATAGATACACTACAGGCAGCAGAGGAAATGCACTTTCCCTTCCCAACAACAGATGACCAGAAAAAAGACCAGGCTGACAAAATCCAGGGATGACAATTCCTCAGTTGTCCTGACCCTCTCATCAAAAAGGCCCTTATTCTACACCATAAAAAAAATGAAGTTGCTCTGCCCCTAGAAAATAAATGTTCATTGCCTGTCCTAGAGAAACAGCTTTAGCACCTACTGAAAATTTGTTGAGAAGAGTCATTCAACTTCTGGCATTTGTATTCCAAATTACAGGTATGATTACCTCAGATACTCATCAGAGAACTACGTAGAACACATACATCTAAGATGCAGTTTTTCAAGCTAACAAATGCTTTATTTTTTTATAGGAGCTACCCAGAGATGGATGTTGGCAACAAAAATGCTTAGCACTCCTCCGCAGAGTTACAAGAAATATACATCATCTAAATTACATATTTGGAAACTGTTTTCACACCCGCACGAGCACATGCACACGAGTACAGCCCTCCTCACATACCTTTACAGCACCATCCCGTTCATCAAAATGAATGAAAGCATAGTCTTTTAGCTTCTTCACTCGCTCTAGCTTTCCAAACTGACTGAAGGCCTTTTCTAGTATCTCCTCTGTTACAGTGTTGGCGAGATTGCGGACAAACAGAACTTTTACCTAGAAAGCAAATTAGAAAGATTTAGAAGTGCGATCCAAAAGATGAAATAAAGTTTTGCAAATTGTTACTATTGGCAGCACTGAAAATATATTTTAAGTATAGTATTTAATGTATGTAGATAGGGGAATTTATATGCTCCTATAAGCACAAGTTGGCTGCAAACATCCCTTACTGCTAAAAATATGAGATCCATTTTCAAACATGATTACATAGCACTAGCATTCTGAAAGTCAACACTGTTTTTGTTAATCTTTAAAGGAATCCCAGCAGCAATAATTTTCAACTCAGGAACACTTTCAAAGCTGAAAGAAGGCAAGTGAAATTGGTTATTGGTTATACAAAATAATTAACTTATCAAAACATTCCATTGTTTAGACAGGTTTCTGCAGTACAGTCATCACTGTAATATCTAGGTCAGAGGTGACAGGCCTGCAGCTCTCAAGCTGCTTAACTTGTGGCTCCTATGCTACAACTACGCCAAACACTGGAGCAGCTGGACTGTGCTTGCCTGAGAAACACTCAGTGACCTGAATCCACAGCTAGAAGAGGGAAGAAACACAGAAAGGGATACTGACACTGACACTGCCAGCTGACTCCAGGACCTTCTCACAAGTCAAGCTGAGCCCTTTTTGTTTATGGAACAGCCACTTCCAACCAACTAAAAACCTATTCCCTCCCTGTCTCTCTCACAGAGAGATGCAACACAGCTACTAAACTCTTTGAAGACTGCAACACAGCTTTTAACATGAGAAAGCCTGCTTACCTACTAAGAATTTACACATATCTGGTTAACTGCTGGACAGTGCTAAATCATCAGCCCAAAGTTTCATCTTCAAACAGTTGGAGGTTGGTGGCCCTGCATGTGGCAGGGGGGTTGGAGATTCATGATCCTTGAGGTCCCTTCCAACCCTGGCCATTCTGTGATTCTGTGAGGTTAACGCAAGCAAACATACTGCAGCTTGGCAAATACATGCATTAGACTCTTATACACCAGACACCACGCACTGCACATATGTTAATTGGCTGATAGCATTTGCAAACTTGTCCCTGCATCCACACTAAGGCTGCACTAAAAGACCTGTGCATTATCATCACCTTTGCATGACATCACCCATGAGCTACCTCTTACACTTTGGGAGTCCCTTCTAGATGCGGTCATCGCACCCTGACGTTATAGTGCTACCTTCCTACACTGCAACTGCAGATCTGCAGCCTCTGTCCATAACCTCCCACACCACTGATGTCTAGCTGGACAATGATAAAAGCAAGCAAACGTGCTATGTGACAGTATTTGACTTCCCATTCCTAATCCTAAAGGTCAACACAAGTAACACAGAGTACAAAGGGACCAAAGAAAGCACGCTTTGACTTTCTGAAGTGAAACTATAATCCCTGCTCCTACAAAGTATAGGAATTTAGTACACTCAAATATCTGCTTGTATGTATAATAGATAATTACTATGTCTATGACTGTGTAATTAGGTTACTAATAAACAGAACAGACTTCCATAAATCCCTGTCTCACTAGATGGCAGAGTTAGGATGGAATGAAAGGACACTACAGACTGTAAGTCTGATCCAGATAATCAACTTCAGCCTTTGGCAACAGCTACCCTGGAGGATTCTCATGGGATGAAAGAAGTCACAGGCCAGCTCCATAGGGAAAACTTCTTTCTATCCTGTGTTAACATTTTTCTACTTGCCTGTCTAGTACAAGCATGCTATCTTAACCGCACCTTAATTCAATAAAGTAAATTACAGAAGTTTTGTCACATAAATGCCTGCTTTTAGAATCAGTATCTTTCACTCAAAGATTATTCTTGTGCTGTAGGAAAGGATAAAATCAGAGCTGGTTCTCACAAGATTCCTAAGTAGCCTTCAACAGTAAGTCCTCAACAACTGACATTCTGTGTCAGATATGATTACAAACCATAAAGATTATCATCTTTTTTCAGTACAAGTTGCACTAGCATTACATTTTTAAAAACACAAAGAGTTCAAACTTTCTCCTGTGCAGTTGAACACATTGATCTCTAACACCTCTGTTCCTGCTACAAGTTAAATGCATAGCCGTGCGATGCAATGCATAGCTGAACCAGTCAACAAAGGTGCCGATGCTAAGAGAAAAACTGAAGCATGGGCTGAGTGAAGGTGAAACCATTTTTATTTCATTTAAGCTGAAGAGGTTTAAAAAAAAAAAAAAAAATGCACTTGGTTAAGGCTCAGAGGTTGTAACCAAGAATTCACCAATGCACATCTAACAACCAATATACCCAACTATTCTGCATGCAAACACACAGCAGCACCGTGTCATAAATGCTGGACCCACTTGAAAACTGCTGAAGATTGGACTACCCCCAAAACTTTTGGATCTGCTCCTTTTCCTCCTCCTAACTACAGCACAAACACTTCAAACTTTGTTACTACATTCTCCAGGGGTTAGTAGCCCTGTCTCCTGCCCTATCATCTACCAGGCAGCCACGAGAACCAGACTTTATTTAGCTACTTAAGCTGCCAATCCAGCACATGCTCTGTACCCACAGCCATGCTACAGAAATAATTTAAAACACGAGCGGCATCAAAATGCTGCTTAGGAAAAAACTATTAGCACAACTTAAAGTTACAAAAAATGCTTGTTTGGATCAGAAATCAATTACTTCAACAACTGTATTCATATACAACCTGTTCGCACATGTACTGCACTCCTGTAGCACACAGTCCAGCTTCAACAGCTAGTCTTTTACCTCAACATGCAGAAGATACTTATTTAAGGCAACAAGCCCTTTTATGCAAGGCTACAAGGTGATCTCAGTACCTAAAGAGAGCCTATGAACAGGAGAGGAGTCAACTCTTTGAAAGGGTAAATAACAGCAGGACAAGGGGAAATGGTTTTAAGTTGAGGGGGAAGATTTAGGTTGGATATCAGGGGCGAGTTCTTTGCTATGAGAGTGGTGAGGTGCTGCAACAGGCTGCCCGGAGAGGTTGTGGATGCCCCATCCCTGGAAGTGTTCAAGGCCAGGTTGCATGGAGCCCTGGGCAGCCTGGTCTGGTATTAAATGGTTGGTGGCCCTGTCTGTGGCAGGGGAGTTGGAGACTCATGGTCCCTTCCAACCCTGGCCATTCTGTGACTCTGTGTGATCCTGTGATTCAGAACCTTCTACCTAAGGAAGCATAGAAGAGTCAAGCACTCCCCCGTTTGCTCCTGAAGGGCAGTAGCTGGGAATACTGATAGTCAACGCACAGCTCACACCTGGGAGATTGCTGTGGATGCAAGTGGCAGCTTGGCTACTCTTAAACCTAACACAACAGCAAGCAACAGAAAGTAAAGCCAGCACTTCTAGAAGCACCAGATGCAATCCTTCCATATTCATACAGTAAGTGGGCTAGTCTGGAATGGAGCCTCTGCACGTAACAAGAACAAACTAAGGGATGCAAGAAGCCAGAAAGGTCAGCCACCAGCACCTGTGTCACTTACTGCCTTCAAACACAACCTATGCACTCTATACTTCTCAGCATTTCTCAGTCGCACATTTGTTCCCTTTTCCACCAACTGCGTGCATTTGGCAAATGGCACTGAAAACAACAAGTTCTTTCCTGCGCATTTTTCACTTTCATGTCCCACTTAAATACAAAGCAACATGAGGTATTACAACAGCGACACCTCAACAAAATTACATGGGACAAAACACCATCAAGATTTAATTTCTTTAGCCTTCCTTTCCTTACACTTGTAAGCTTACCTCAGAAAGACACTGATGGGGACTCATGTCCCCTTTCACCTCCCACTTAACTACATGATCATATCATCAGAAGTTCTTGTTAGTTTAACAGTTGGTTGGATTAGGGCGGCTCTCTTTTGAGACAAGAAATTCAGACAGGCTGAGAGATGCAGGAAGTGCCACTCAACAGATTTTGCATTTAAGATTCTTCCCTGTGGCTGACCAACTACAATACTGAGCAAGAAAAATAAAGCCTGCATCAGGATAATCCAAAATGCTTCTGCAATACCCTTACTACAAAAGCAGATTATTTTTTTCTCTCCTAAAAGTGAGACCCTGCCCAACCCTTTCTCCTTACGGATCAGAGAAGAGGAGATTCTCAGCAAAGCTATCTTACTAGGCCTATCCAAAGCAGGACTCCAGCAAGTGATGTGTCTCAAGACCAAAGCGAAAACACAGGCAAAAAGCAAGTAAAGAGATAAGGATATGAGCTAGCTAAGATTTTCCATCAAACAACTCAGCTACACAACAGAACTGACTTGGACTTGGACATTATCTAACGGGAAGAAAAATCAGGTAATCCATTCTTATGGCAAAATATCACATGGATAACAGAAGTGCTACAGTGTACTTCAAAATGTTAAGAGTTCAGACTTGTGCTTAACTGAAATAGTCATAATCCACTCATAACACTTGAAGGAATTAGCACCCTGCCCAAGAAATAAAGAAAGGAGAATAAAAAAAAGGTTCAAAATATACAGTAATTGATCAGCTTCTCAAAAGCAACTGCTACAAGACATCTTTGAAAATTCCAATCTGCACATCTTATATGTTTTATGTTATTATTATATGTTTCACTTCTGAAATGATAAACATGCATTTCCAGGGTTAAAAATCATTAAGGCTTGCTCTCTGAACATAGCCAGATTTCTGTGCAATCAAATCTTATGCTACAAAGACATTTGTATGTTTGGAGTCACCACAACCACTTCCAGAGGAGAAATCAAGTATGCCAGCAAATGGACCATTTATCCTTGGGAGAATGAGATAACATCAGTCAGTAGCTCTTCTAAAATTCACATCAATTCTACAGTACATTCATATGCTTTCTTTCTCAATACCTCTTTCTTTCAAGAAGACTGACAGATGCAATTGAAACCTAGGCTAATATCAGGAAATACTTACTCTGGGACAACGCACTTATAATTATGCTATGTTTCTCTTACAGCTTTATTACCTTTGCCATGACTTCTGGATCTGGGTCTTCTATAGGGTCGGCCCATTCAACTGTAACAACATTTCCCCAGACTTTCACTTTGCCACTCATTAACCTACGTCTGGCTTGAGCAGCAGTTTTGTGATCTTCATATTCAAGGAAACAGAAACCCCGGTTCTTCTTCTTGTCATCAGGCTGATGATACAATATGACATCTGTAAGGCCCTCTGAAATTAAGCAGAGAATTTATTCGTTATAGCTTTATTCTGGGATTTTACATTAACAAGTAGAGATTATGTTTCTGGGAAATACGCACCTAACCAATGGTTCCAAAAGGCACAACCATGCTAAACTCCTCAGACTATGAACATCATAAAGTTTCCAGACTTTCAAGATCAACATTTTCAAAAAGACATCACGCTATCCCAGCTTAGCAATCCTTGTATTAGGTGAGGAAAGCTTAGAAACTATGGAAGAGTACCTTTCATCTCACTGACCAGAAGGGAGAGGGCAGCCAAAAGTTGTGTTTTGTCACCCCTCCTCTCAAACCCCTAAGTCACAATACTTATCAGCATGTGCTTTTTCCATGGATGTCCAAAGAACAAAAGGTTAAACGTGCATGATTTCAAGACATATAAAGAGTTTCAGTGTTGCTCCAGGAAACCTAAAGTATACCATTCAGTAACAGAGGAAGCCATAAAACATTGCCTTTTCAAGTTTATATGCTATTAACAAGAAGAGATCCTCATCAAAATGCAAAGAATTCTGAAGCACAAAACTAGTTATGTTCTCCAATCTGCTTCAGTTCTGTCTTGAAAAGTTTTTGAAACATCTCTTAGTACCGAAATAACAAAACCACACATTTGTTTGAATGGCCTTTTTAAACATTACACACATCTCAGTAAAACTGGAACTACACACCTTGTTTAATTAGATTTCAGCCCTTGGCACAGTAAATTAAAAAAAAAAAAGAAAAAACAAACATAAATCCCGGAAGTCAAGGGAAATATTGAGTCCTACCAGCCATCATCATTGAAGAAGATGGCAAAAAGTTCATTACTGATCACATCTGACACCTTCCAGCTCAACACAACAGTTACTGAGTTACCTGTTACTTTGCTGAATTCTTCAACAATTTGCTCCTTGGTTTTACTCTTAGGAATAGAACCAACAAAAAGTCTATTATTGGCAACAGAGATGCATACACCAATGTGTTTTCCAGAGCGAATTTCATGATTGTTGTACTGAAAGAAAAGCAGACAACCATTAGATAGATAACTTTCATTCTTCTCCAACAGCAGCACTATCAAATACTTTACTTCTATAAGTACATCTAGTAATGTATATATTCTTTGACATTTACAACATTCTTATGAAATATACTCAATTATACCTATGTTCCTTAAACTACCTTCATAGCACACCAACAAATACCTTTCCCTTTTTGTTCAAGCCTGCTTCTTAATACATGTTTCTTTAGATTTTTTGTGGAACTGTGAAAAGTTACGATTTGCCCAGGTTGCAGAAGGCAAGGGTAATCCCTTCACAGCAGCACAGCAAAAGACCCAACTTGCTCTACAGATGGCATCTGTGAATTCTTAAATTGAATTGTGTACAATAGAAGACAGGTGTTGCAATTAAGGTCAGATTCCCTTCCAAAGCTCTGTAGTTCACAGACGACAGACAGCCACGATCAGGCCTTCTCCACCAAGCATGCAAAAGCAATTGCTGAATTCTTTCCAAAGCATGTAGATTACACACAGACAATAAGCAGCAGAAAGAAGCTTCCACTGCTTTGAAATCTTAAGATTTCTGTTCAAATGCCTCTCCCAAAACAGCCTGAACACATCAGCAGTTCAAGGGGAAAAACACACACCATTGCAGACAACTGCTGACAAAAAAGTGCCTTTCACTGGGATGCAGACTGACATATAGCACCCCAATAAGCAGCAAGGAGGTCAAAAATGGTGGTATGCCAACCCTTTTCCAATTGCAAGCATAGCAACAGGCAGTTCTTCAGCTAGGAAACCTGTTTTATGGTCAATGTTTTATTGACAAGTAGTAGAGCAGCATTTCAAACTTTAATCTAGCTACTTAATCTAGCAAGTGGTTTTGTGTCTAGTGGCAAACTTCCCCACATATGCAAGTCTTCCACACCCCCTTCCTGCTTGGTGCACTAAAGATCAGGGTGAAGATGTACATTTATTTAGGCATACCTATAGTAAAAAAAACAAACAAACAAAAAAAGCTGCATAATTGAGAATTGTCAAAGCTGTACAACTGTAGCAGACTTGAGCTGAAAGAGCTGCAGATGCAGAAATGATTTTCAGTGGCACCTTTCCAACTAGTTATGTAGCAAAACATAACAAAGGGCCGCAAAAAGCATCTCTGTATCTGTTGACTGCGTGGCAAAGGAAGAATTTTAAAGTTGGAAACAAAATCACACAGCAATACGTGTTTAACAGCACTCACACAGATTAACAAAGAAACCAACTATAATGGGGAAAAAAATCCTTTAGAAGAAACACCTTTAAAAAAGCTAGCCCCTTGTACATCTGGATACAAGATGCAAAAAGATGCTCGTTGAATTGAACATATAGGTAAGTTTTATCTGATATATTATCTAGATGTCCCTTTCAAAATGTAAGACTAAAGTCTGACTCCACATTTAATCCAAATGACCCTCCCACACCTTGTAACAGGAACAACTCTTTATTATTCTAACATACTGCAATTCCACACTGACATTAGTTTTTCACGCTACAATATATTAACTACTATTTTCTACTGCATGTTTCTCCTACCGCTGACAAGGCAGCCTGCAATTAGGTGCTCCTAAATATATATTGGTACTTCTTAGGTAAACAGTTTGCAAACCAACTGCAAAGTTAGATAAGGCATACACAAGCCCAATTCTGGATTAAGTGCCACAACAGCCAGGCCACCAAATTAGCAAGGTCAGCACAATGCTCTTCCCTCCTGTCACCACCGCATCCACACCCAAAGCCAGCAGAGACATCAGTACCCTATAGACACTACAGAAGACTCCTTTTCTGCTAAGTTCTTCAAGAACCTATTCACAGACAGGTGAAATAAATTACACCAAACAGCTAAGATCTGTTTTGCCATTTCATTCACTCTCACCCGCATTTATTTCTAGCAGTGAACAAACTGCTTGCATAGCTGGCAAACTGCTTAAGGGGAATGCTTGCATAATTCAACTGTACCTGCACTTTGATCAAACTTCTATCTGCTCTGGTCAAAAAATGCTTTGAATTATAACAGCACCTAGCATATATTCTCCCACAAGCTCAAATACATTCTCCCACAAGCTTAGCCCACTGGTTCTTATTTCTGTGCATGCCCACAGTAATACTAATCCTTCCGAAACAACTTCCAAAACTGCAGACTAACAACTTTATATGAAACAGTAGAAAGGAGAACTGAATGCGCGTGTATAAAACCACCTAGAACCCAACGCTCCGAGTACAGAGTCAGAAGGCAAACCAGACAGGCTGACAGAGAAGAGATGCCTGAAAGAAGTCACACCTGACTTCTGACAGGTGGTGCCTGTGTGAACAAACAACACTTGAGATGCCACTTGTACTAAAGCAGCTGGCAGCAGGGCAGAGATGGTGGACTGCATACTGGATGAAATTAAGACAAAATTAACTACTGTTCAGATCTTTAGGTCTTCTTGGTACCAAGCCACAGCACCATTCCATTTTTTGTCTGAAGCACAGCATCAAAGTTATTTCAGACAGAATTAAGGCACCTCTCCCTTTTTAAGCTGCTGGTGCTATGCATAAACAAAAATAAGAGCTTCAACCATTGAAGTTGAAGATTTCTTCTGGTAAATGAAGAGGTTAAGCCTGTATTTTCTGCTGTTTGGGTACTGACAAAACTTTATACCTGTCTCTTACCAACCACAAATCTAAGGCACTGACTTATAGCCTCATTTCAGTAAATTTCAGAATCCTAGATGGAAAAAAAAAAAAAAGCCACTGGGAAGAAAATGGGAAATAGAAGAGAATGATCGCTATCTCACTGTATCCAGAAAGCTGCAAAGAGTTTACTACATATCAGAAGGTTTTATGCAGTATCAAGAAGAACACTGCGGGTTAAAATACCAGGACGTTAAAATAGCTGACCAAGAGTTCAGTGTAACAGAACTTTAGCTACCTGTTCCACATGTGCAACTAACGTAAGTCATCAAGCCACTACTTTCAGCAGAGCTCCACAGACATACTTTGCTGATTCTCATGCAAGTCACTCTTTGACAACTTGGGCAACTTCTAACACACCAAACCAGCCAGCCTGCTACGGCTGGGACCACTCAAAAGCTAAACTGGATCTTGTGGCATCCATGAGAAGTAACCCTGCCCTCAGAGATGTTAACATAAAGACTGAAAATCTGCCCTATCATTCCTAACGCTTTTCAACTATTACTCTCAGTAGCAATCTATCTGAAAGACAGGAAGCTGTTGTTTTTTTTTCCTGCTCATCAAAGCTCAAGCATACAGAGGCATTAAGCACCTTCCGCCCTTGTATCACTGAGCACAAGACTGAGGCCAGGTATCAGATGTATTATTTCTAGGGAAACTAATGGTTTCTCAAAGAAATAGGCTGCATTTAAGCAAAACGTAGCTAAGGAAAAAGCTCTTTATTTAACCAGTGCCTCCAATAATGTATCTGACTTGTTCCACTCCTTTGGTAAGTCATGTGCACAGCTCTGAAGAGTTTACACACATTATAAATAGCTAAGCTGACAATGAAAGTACAAAGAGGTACATGCAAACAGCTGAGTTTTCCTAAGTGCATTTGGATTGTGCACAGGAACACTAGACATTCTTGTTTAAAAAGTTAAACAACAGATAACACTCTTTTTTGTGCTTCCACTTTTTTTTTTTTTTTTTTTTAAAGATATTTCAATATTTTTTGGGAGACAGCCCTACCTTTGGCTTTATTTCCCTCTATCTATTGATTTTCATTATCAGTGCGCCAACAAGGTAACTTAATTGGCGAAAATGACCCTATTACAAAAGAGACATTTTAACTCTACTGGATTTATACAGTATCAGTATAACTCAGAATGAGTAGGGCTCACACTCTTAGGATCACCTCAGCCAGATCAATGCAACAGCAACTAGTACAAAAAGATTCACGTTTCACTTGACTAGAAAGACAAAGGATGAGGGGGTCTTTGAAAAAGAAAAGGCTGCTTCAATCATAAAATCAGGAAAGCTCATTAAGAGCTGTCTATTATGCCAGAATACTTCACAGCTCTGTCTAAACAGTGTAAACTTTTTAACCCGTAGCTTTTCTGTCATTTTCCAGTCTGTTTAAACAGACAGCACAGACCTTAAAAGTGATTCTCTCTCCTCTGAAGTATCTCATGAAATTGTGTGACTTTAGATACATTTTTCTACCGTGGTGCCCTCTGCTGGCACACGAGCAAAGCAGAAATCATACAAAGCCCAACCAACTCCTTTGCACTGCAGCAACTCAATCAGCACTTCCTTCAAAACTCATCCAAACACTGACAGCTCAGAAATGACTCCCACTAACACAACTTTTGTACACAGTAAAGGCACACCTAACTAGACCAAACTTACTTGTTTTGTTTTTAATCCTGTCCCTAACACCTGTCCAGCAAAGATTTGTACGGACAAACAAAGAAATACTTAAAAACACCGAGTGGACATTTGTGAAATGATATAACAATGACACAGCTTAATTTTAAGCAGTCGGATATCAGCTAAGGACAACTGCTTAAAAGCCACAACGTTCTTACCAAAAAGCAAAAAAAAGGCAAATGAAAAAAACTTACCAGCTTAACAGCCTCCTGAGCTGCTTCTTTAGTACAAAACGTGACAAAAGCATATCCTCTATTTAGACCAGTTAATGGATCCATCATTAAGCGGAGATCCCAGATAGGTCCAGCTTTCTCAAATAATGGAACGAGTTCATCTTCAAACAAATCTCTTGGAATCTTACCCACAAATATCTACAACAGACACAGAGCGTTGCTTGTAAGAAAGATACACCCAAGAAACACAAATGCACCTACGTAAGTATCTCCTTCTCCTGACCTCTGTTCCAACAGAAGGCTGCTGTCCTGAATATACAGACTCTGGAGGAGGCCCACCATACTTTCTCTGTCCTGTAGTCACATCAAGAGTGTAGCCGGTTCTTTCCAAGAGTGCCTGCAAGTAGGAAATATAAAATTTTAAAATCAGATGGAAATTTGGCTGATTTAGATGTACTTCACTCACAGACAACAGACATGTTTAAAATTCATCTTTAACCGTATTGCTTTGAAATTCTCACAGGCAAACAAGCCCAGTGCTTCAACAAGTAACTTGCAGAACAATTACTCAAATTGCCAAGAAAAGAAACAGTAGAAAATTTGAGGTTCACATGGAGTTTTCCCCAATTCCTTCATTTTCATACACACACGCAAAAAAAAGGAGGCCAAGTATGAGAACACAGAGCTTCCCTTTAATTAGGAAGATCTTAGCAGCCCGAGCCACTTCTTGTTTTGGCATGCCCAATCCTGCAAACGTTTATGCAGAGAAGTTCCCTTCACTTAATGAGATTACTCATAAGTGTGAAGTTAAAGAACACATGTTTGACTGCTTACAACTCCTGGAACACTAGCAGTGTTCCTTCTGCTTCAGGTATCCCACCACTGAAGTGATAATAAAACTTCCTTCCTCCTATGCTGTTGTCCCTCCTCCTCCCTTCAATTCCTTGTGGGAACATAAAGCATTGCAGCACAACTGATCTTTGCTACAGTCACTGCACGCAGTTACAAATATAATACCAACTAAAAACGTTAACTGAAATTCACAATACAAACACCTACAGAAGCTCCTCTGAGAAGGGTCTTTTCTTAATAATTTTGTACAAAGACAAATCAACTGTACATGCAAAGGAACTGCTCGTTTAACTACTCATAATCAGAAGTTGATTTCACAACTGGAAAATCACAGAGTGATTTTAAACAGTACAGCCATCAGCAGTAACAGCTATGCTACCTTGTTATTTAATACTTATTGTTGATGCTTTATGTGGCATTGTCAAGAACTGTATACCAGTTGTTACATTATTATTATTATTATTTTAATTAATCGCACCCCAGCCTCAAAATCAGGAGAAAGAGAGACGTACCAGTTTTGCAATCTACACACTTATTTTTAATCACAGAATCACAGAATTGTAGGGGTTGGAAGGGACCTCCAGAGATCATCAAGTCCAACCCCCTGCCAAAGCAGGTTCTTTCCCACATGGCTTTTCCATTTCATTCATAAAAAGTTAAAGATGAAAGACTGCCTCAACTTTCTAAGACTTCAACTAAATGTACCTCTTTCTCCTTTCCTTTCCATTTGGTCAAGTAGGTTACCACAGTATTTAATGTAAACTGTAGTATGCCTAACTCCTGTCACAGCAGTTTCTTGGTATCAGAAGACTCATCTGAAGAAATAATGTATTCTTTAAGACAGTTTTGACACAAATATTATCTCCCTACCATGGAGTTCTTCTACATCTGAATTGAGAGAAGAAAGCCAAGCCAGTAGCTGACATTCCATACTCTGCACTCAAATACCCATGCTGAAAGTTTCCTACAAGTTCTAACTGCGAAGCAGCCTAACTGTCCCAACGAGCCAATACTCAGCACATAAACCAAACTGCCAAACGTTTTTCATGTTTCAACACACGTTCAGTTCTAGTAATAGACAGTATATAAGTTCTCCTGAAGATACAATCTAAGATGAAAGCTTGTAAATAATGACAAAGAATCTATAACATCCTTTACTAAGAAAGCACAGTTCCTTAAAAATTAAGATCTCTACCACAAGCACTTTGGAAGAACAACACCAAAAACACAGTCTTTGTACCTTTTATCTTTCAGTCACATACCTTAATTTTTGCCTCATCTGGTCCTTTGCTAGAATCTGCCACCTTGGTCCCCTGTTTTTCCCTCTGCCTGTACGTCTTCATGACTCCACATAAAAAGGCACTTTTGTTCTGCAAGAGATGCATTAATCTTCAGTTCTGCAAACATTACAAACCAGAACCTAATTTTGCCTTGAACTTCCACAGAGCACATTTCACATATCACATATGGTTCAGTGAAGAGATTTAACCAAACCTTTTGCCAGTCTACCAGCAGTTTATCCCTCAACAATTATATTCTGAATTGCTTAATGTTACCTGAACATGTGAGAGATCACTGTCTTTAAACTGCTGAAGCACTGCCAATGCACCTTCTTCATTAAATTCCTTTAAAGCTTCAATAGCTCTTTCATCTAGATCACTATGTGCAACTAGCCCTAGAGAAAAGAAAAAAAATTACTAATTACATTTGGGTAGCAATCTCCATTTAGTCATATTTAACACACCTAATATATTTCAGTGTCCCCTGAATTAATCGCTGGCTAAAAGTAAGTTAATATACCTAAGAAATCACTTAGTTCCCTACGTTAAAATTTAAGTGCACTTAGCTTACTTTTAACCACAAGTGTCAGAAAAATAAGAATTAGACTAAGAGTTACTGCATTTATATATTTCAATTCTCGGAAACACACGCTAGACGAGGCAGGTTTAGTTTCAGTGTCCTGAAGTTGAATTCAAGAGGATCTATCAAAAACTGACTTAGCTTAATGAGCAATATACCACGATGTTCTGGGAGAAGACTGCAAACTGCAGTACTCAGAGTGATCACAGCAACACCAAAATCAAGCTTTACTATGCTACTGCCATGCCTGACAGGCAGAATACAATGACCTTTGCATCTATGAGCTCCAATATCATGCCACAAAGCACCATTTACATCAAATGATGACTACCAAGGCTTCAGTGACTTGAAATTATATACAACTATAGTAAAAATGCACAAAGCCCACATCCCCTGCTCCTTCTAAGCATCAGCTGTTGCCTATCCCAGGTGGTACTATACTTACATTCATACTTCTCTTTCCCACCACCCACCTCAAGAGGCCTGGCCCAGACTGGTGTCTGGGAAAAAACATGAAAAAAAAAAACCCCGAGTTAAAAAAAAAAAAAAAAAAAAAAAAAAAAGAACACAAAAAACCACCACAGATTTTGTTAAAAGTGCAGTCCTCATACTTCTGGAAACCACGTGAAGGTGCTCAGTTAGCCCAAAGACAGCAGAAGCCAATGAAATATCCTAGGATCTAGGAAGGTTTTTGCAAGTTTCATAGCTTACCTGCCACGTAAATTTCATCTAGTTTTTCAGCAACTTTCTGTGGTAAACCAGCATCAAGCAACGTCTGGAAGTGCTCAGAATGGGTAACTGCAGCAGAAGTGTCCATTGGCTCTTCAGTACCGTTCCCATTCACATGTTCAGTAGCCATGTTTCCAGATATCTGTTCGAACGCAAGCAGCAGAACCGTTAAGCTACAAACACCTCCAAGCAGAACAATTCAAGTGACAACACGTGCAGCAGCCCGCCCAGTTCTCGTACAGAGACGGCAGAGCACTTCCCAGATACTTTCAGCTTCCAGAGATGCACAGAATTCCTCAAAAGGAGCCCTGACACAAAGGGAAGCCCTAACGCCGCTGCCTGGCGGGGGCGGGGTGGTTCTCACTGCAGGTTTTACACAACGCAGCCAGACACTGACTCACCTCGCCCGCCGTCTCCCTAACGCGCTCCCCGGGAAGCTCCCGACAAGTTCGGGACGGAGCACGGAGCCAGGGGAGTGAAGCCACGCTCCGCCAGCTCCCGGCCCCGCCGCCCCCCGACCCCTCCGCGGCCGCGCTCCCCTTCTTACAGCGCCGCACCGCCGGCCGGACTGGGCCGGCAGAGAAACAAAGCGCCCATTCCAGCCCGCACCCTCCCACGGCGGCAGCGGCGGCCGCCATGAGCCCGCTGGAAACACGTGCTCTGCGCGCTCAGATGTCCTACAACTTCCTCCAGTGACCGACTTCCCCCTCCCCGCCGAGCTCCCGGGAGCGGGAGGAGCGGCTCCCCCCGCCCGCGCCCCGGCCCTTCCCCACCTCTCGCCCGATTCCCCCCGGAGCGTGGTTGCAACACCGCGGGCCCGATTTCACCACCGGCCCGGCCGCTCCACGCGCCTCCCGGCCGCGCCTCCGCCGCCACCGAGCCGCGCTTCCCCCGAAACAATGCGGGGCCGCGCCGCCGGCCCCCGGCGGTCCCTGCCCGGGCAGCGCGGCTGCGCTCCGCCCCGGGAGGCGAGCGAGCCCGGCCGCTCCCGCGGCGCCGCGCGGCGCGGCCCGTGACGGGCAATGAATGGCGCGGCGGGGCCGGCGGGACAATGAGGCAGAGCCACGCGTCCCGCACGGGGCCGTCCCCCCGCCCGCCGGGCCTACCCGCCGCCCCGGCCCGACCCGCGCCCCTTCGCCGCCCGCGACGGCCGCGGTCGCGG